TGTTTTGTTAAAATGTGTTTTATACGAATTTTTTTTTTTTTTTTTTGGGGGGTATTTGTAACGAATTTTTTTTTTTTTTTTTTTTTTTTTTTGGGGTATTAGAATCGAATTTTTTTTTTGGTGAGTGCACGCAATTAGTAATAAGTATACAGGTTTGTGAAATTATGATGTAATTAAATAATTATGATTATTGCTATGTAATAATGTTATAATATAAAAATTTTAATAAAATTTTATTAACTAATTTTCTGACAAATAACTTTATTTAATAAATAATAAATAATAAATATACAGTATATTAATATGTAGTCATTATTATATCATTATTATGTAATATATTTTATTTGCTTGATTAATCATCGTTTGATATATTTGTAAATAATTTTATATTTTTTCGCATATATTCGCATATTTTCGAAAATTTTCGAAAATTTTTTTTCGAAAAATTTCGCGGTAAATGAAATTTTTTCGAAAAAATTTTGGTATACAAATTTTTTCAAAAATTTTTGCTTATATTTTTTGCTGATGTGGGTGACATTCAATAAGAAGCAGCACAAGGTTATAGACTGGTGTAATTAAGGTGGTGGTGTAGAACAGAAGACATCAGAGAGTTTAAATAGGTAATCTCCTAGTTAGGTTACAGATATTGCATATAGTATAGAACCTTTAGATAGACTACTTAAATTAGGCGACCAAAAGTTGCATGTATAGCTATATGTACTCTTATTGACCAAGAATATAATACTAAAATACCTAATAAAAATCTACCCTTCTGTGATATTGTGAAGATATAAAAAAAAATATATATATATTATATTTATTTTTTTTATTTTTATTTTTTTTCTCTCGCAATATTATGAACAGGCGAATTTTTATTAAGAATTTAAGTAGTACATTTACAACCACCTACAATTACGCTAGCCTATAACCTCATGCTGCTACATTTAAAGACCATCTAGATCAATATATGCTACACTACTTGTGTTCTAATTCTATGATAACTCAGTAGAGTTCTCATACTTACCAGATTACCTTAGAGAGGGTGTAGTATATACCCCCTAATCTTTCTATGTCCCACATATTTCCGACTAGGCCTTTTTAGTAACTTACGCCGAGTCTAAGAACAAGTACTTGCAAGCCAAAGCCACTAGAGTTACCTACTACTGCTTTTATAGAGTTCACCCAAACCTAGTATCTACTTTCAGATTTTCTCCTATACCTCCAAAAAAAAAAAAAAAAAATTCGTATAATACACATTTTAACGAAGCACAAACAGCAAAAATGAACCAACAAACCAAAACTTAGTACTACCAAAAAGGCGCTGAAAAAACACATACGCATGTAGCAAGAAGACCGACCCTAAAAGAGAACCACCAAAAAAGTTTGCTGAAAAATACACCAATAACCCAGAGAGCCGAAGAAATACTCCAAGAACCCGAATCTGAAAGAGAAACATTCAGAAAAGATGTTAATAGAGCGAAAAAAAATAGAACACAATTAACGAATGACTTACCAAGAACGCCGAAAAGATGCTTCTGAACCCGGAGAACCGAAGGAATACTCCAAGAACCCCGAACCTAAAAGAGAATCATCCAGAAATGGTGTTAGTAGAGCAAAAAAAAATAGAACACAATTAATGAAAGACTTATTAGGAACGTCAAAGAGATGCTTCAAAAACCCAGAGAGCCGAAGGAATACTCGAACTTAAAAAGGAATCATCCAGAAAAGATGTTAGTAGAATGAAAAAAAAAAATAGAACACAATTAACAAATGACTTACCAGGAACACCAAAGTGATGTTCAAGAACCCAGAGAGCCGAAAAAATACTCCAAGAACCCCGAACCTAAAAGAGAATCATCCAGAAATGATATTAGTAGAGCAAAAAAAAAATAGAACACAATTAACAAAAGACTTACTAGGAATGCCTAAGAGATACTTCAAAAACTCAGAGAGCCAAAGGAATATTCCAAGAACCCGAACCTAAAAGGGAATCATTCAGAAAAGATATTAGTAAAGCAAAAAAAAAAATAGAACACAATTAACGAAAGATTACCAGAAGTGCTGAAGAGAAGAAACCTAAACCTGAAAGAGAATCAACAGAAAAAAAAAGAAAATAATGTTAGTGTAACAAAAAAAACCCTCCACTTAATGATTAATGAAAGACTTACCGAAAACACAGAAGAAATACTACAAAAACCTGAGCTTGAAAGAGAAT